ATGTGTCTGTGTATGTGTGTATGTGTGTATGTGTGTGTGTGTGCGTGCGTGCGTGTGTATCCGATTTGAGGATTATGTGATAATATATTAGTGCATGCCCCCATTCTTCCACTAGTGAAATTCTGTGTGGATGGTTTGCTCGGAAGGGGAAAAAAACCCCGAGCGTATTGAATGGGTTCGATGCAAAGAAAATAAATGAAAGAGCCGATACACGGGCAGACAAAGAACCAAAGGTTGACAGATGGACGAAATGTCGGGGTGCTTTATGTAGTTCACAGACAAGAGGTCCAATAGATATATAATTAATATTATGAGGAGAGAGGGATGGATAAAGCTAGTGGTTGGGTGGAAAAAATAGATTACTAAACCATAGACTTGTACAGTATCATAATATTCAAGACCAGGTATTGGCACGGTCACTGCTCTTCGCTCTCTGTAAAAAAATAAAAACTTCACTGTGCCGGTGCGCACCATTGACGCACAATTGAAGTGTGAACCACAAGTCTGGCCGCAGTCGAGTGAGCACGCAATCTTTCCCTCTTTGATCTTTATTAGATTCCGAATTGAGTCAATAAATGTGCGCTCCATTATTGACCGAATTAATAGTTTTGGTTATTATATTATTGCAAGTCTATGGACTGAACAGACAAGTAATTGGTTGAGAAAGATAAATGAGTTTAATGGATCGGATAAGCAAGCAAAAAGAGCATATGGGAAATAAATTGACTAGTGTGTGGAAGCTAAGAGCTCGTGTGGATAGATCGTTAAAATTATGAAAGAAGGAAGGATTGAGGATACAAATAAAAATAAGTGCTTACACCAGTACTTGTCAAACTTTTCATAGCCAGCAACCACTTTTGCCCCCTTTAAGAGACTAAAGATTTCAAACCGACCACCCACATGTATTTCCAAACAGTGTATTGAGTAATACCTGTCATCAACCAGATGATCTCCACCACTTATTAAAATTACCAAATGGCCTACTTGCGGACGGTATCGTCCAGAATGGCAAACACTAGCTTAGATGGATTTATAAACAGACAGACAGACAGACAGACAGACAGACAGACAGACAGACAGACAGACAGACAGACAGACAGACAGACAGACAGACAAGTAAATCCTCCAACTACTTACCGCCAGATCATACTGCTGGTTGCCTTCCCCCAGCGTACTTCCGGTCTCGCTTTCGGGTCGGTTGTTAGGGCAACAGGACGTGGCATACTGTAACTTCCTCTGTCTGTCCAGCCGGCGGAGCACACACATGGCCACCAGCACGGCGCCCGACACGATCACGGTGAAGCACACGATACAGGCCACAATCAACACGTTCTGGTCGGCAATCACGTCATCGCTCCGCGCGGACTGAGATTGGACGATGAGGTGGAGGGTACGAGCTTCCCACATGAGAGGCGAACCCTGGTCCGTGGCGTTGATGGTCAGCGAGTAGGTGCTGATCTCAGCGGTCCCCAGGTCTCTGTTGGCGATGATGTCCCCGCTGTATTTCCCGATTCTGAAAAGGTCCGAAGCGTTTGATAATACAATCGCGTAGGTGATAATGCTGTTTTTGCTGGCGTCATCGTCGTTCACGTCCACTTGTAGAACGATGCTGTCTTGAGAGATAGGGATATTGACGAGAGCGGAGTAGTTCTGCTCGCTCGGGAAGATGAATGCTGGGTGGTTGTCGTTCACGTCGAGAATCTTGACCGTGACTTGTGTGGATGAGGAGAGTTTCCGCTGGCCGTTGTCCGTGGCTATCACGTAGAACATGTACTCACTCTTGTCTTCTCGGTCAAACGACACGAGGCTGGAGATCCTCCCGTCGCGGCTGATGGAGAAAGGAACGACTCCGTTGTCAGTGAAAGGAATGAGAGAAAGAGAGATAATTCCTCCTTCCCCTAAGTCTGGATCTGTGACGGAGATGTTTCCCACCACGCTGTCAGCGTCTCTGTTCTCGTAGATGTGGAAGGTGTAGTTGTCCTGGGAGAAGGCGGGAGCTACGTCATTCACGTCGATGATGTTAACGGTCACAGCCGCCACACCTGTCCGTCTCGGAGTCCCAAAATCCACAGCGAGGACAGAAAACTCATAAGAGTCCTTGACCTCTCTGTCAAATCGTCTGTTTGCTTTGATGACGCCTGTCTGTGAAACAATAGTGAAGTTCCCGCCCGCGTTAGCAAGCCTGTACTCTATCCTGGCATTGTCGCCTTGGTCGTCGTCGTAAGCGTTGACCACTAGAACTGTATCTCCCCTCAGGTTGTTTTCGATGATGTCCTGACTGTACTCAGGCTCCCTAAACACTGGGTTATTGTCATTCTCGTCGTACACTTTGATGACCACCGCTGACGACGCTGACAGGCTGGGTGTGCCCTGGTCGTGACAGTGTACGGTGACCGCGTGTGTTCCAATCGTCTCGCGGTTTAATTCCCGCGCTACCATCAGTTTGTAGCTGGAGCTAGCGGGCAGTTGCTGGAGAGAGAAGAAAGACTCTGCGCTCTCACACGTCACGTTCCCGTTGTCTCCGGAATCCGGATCATCAACCGTCAGTACAGCCACCACCGTGTCGACCTCTGAGTTCTCCGACACCCACCCCAGAGGGAGGTCACCAACCTGGACCAAATTGACCTTGACTGTGGGTTGGTTGTTGTTTGTGTCCAGTACAGTTGCTGTTATGACAGCCTGGTTGGATTTCGGCGGCGAGCCCAGGTCGCGGGCGTCTACAAGTATCCTGTAGACGCCGCTACTGAGCTGTCGGAGTAAAGTGACAGAACCATTCAGGGCGTTGACGTCCACACTGGTGGTGATATCCATCGGGTTCTCGGGCTGGTTAGCGCTGAGGGTATATCGGATCTGGCCGTTTTGGCCAATGTCGTTGTCAGATGCCGTTACTTGGATTATCTCCGCTCCAGGGCCTGCGTTTTCAGAGAAGTTGGTGGTGTAGTAAGTCTCCGAGAACACTGGGGCGTTGTCGTTGAAGTCGTCCACCTCGATGTTGACGGTTAGGGTTCCGTTCCTAGGAGGGTCACCTCCGTCTTTCGCCACAACAATGACCGTATAAGTCTCACGGGTCTCCCTGTCCAGAGATTTCTTCAGAACCAAACTCAACTGAGGCGTGCCTACAAGATTTCTTGTCAACACCACCTCAAATGTGTCGCTAGGGGGTACGATGGAGTACGTCACATTCCCGAAAGCCGCACTTTTATCCCTGTCTGTAGCGATGTCAAGAGGACGAGAGATATTCACTCGCGCCGACTCGTCAATATTGAGATCTATGGAGGACGGCGAAGGAAACCGTGGGGAGTTGTCGTTAATGTCCGTGATCCTGACCTTCACCAGAACGGTGAAGAAGCTGGGAGCTCCGCTGACCGCGACCCTGAAGTCGATCTCGCAATCGTCGGTGGTGGGACAGACGGACTCCCTGTCCACTCTCCCCGCGAACGTTATGTTGCCGGACATAGCGTCGATCTGAAACAGGTTACTGTTGGGATTTCCCTCGCCCAGAATGTTGTACCGTAGATTTGGCAAGCTATCCTCTGGGACTCCGTTTACGATCTCGGGACCGGACGCTACGCTACCCACGAACCTTCCTGAGTCTTGTTCTTCTGCTTGCGTGAACACAATGGGATCCGAACCCCCGTCTTGGGCGGCACACGGGGGAGTCATGCAGACGATACACCACAACAGAACAATTGCCCCCCAGATACCAGTAGATATCTTGGGGTTTGACGTTATATTTTTAGCCTGTTTCATTGTGAGTGTGTATAGGAGTCTGTTGGGGTGCGTTGGAGTGAAAGTGTGTGTGTGTGTTTGTGTTGAAAAAAAAGT